TCCGGGGGGCCAGGAGGGGGAATAGAGTTTCCCTGGTGGTGCCCAGAGTGGCCACCAGGGAAAGCTGGGGAGGGCTAGCCTCCCACTAGTTCGAATTAAGTGGCTACACAGCCCTTAATTCAAACTAGCTAATTCGAAGTAGGCGTTAGTCCTCGTAAAATGAGGTTTACCTAGTTCGAATTAAGTGCTCCGCTAGTTCGAATTAAGTTCGAACTAGCGGAGCGCTAGTGTAGCGCCTATCAAAGTTAATTCGAACTAAAGTCTGTTAGTTCGAATTAACTTTGTAGTGTAGACATACCCTTAGAGACTAACAAAAAATGTAGATAGCATCATGAGCTTTCATGGGCACAACCCACTTTTTCAAATGAATGGAATCAAAGGGTCCAGTTTCCAAATAAATAGCAAAGAAAAGAGGAGGTGTGGGGGTGAAGAGAAGGGAAAAGAAGGAGGGTGAAGGGAAAAAATTGTCCATTAGTGTATCCATGCTAAATGAAGTTAATAGAGTGGGTTCTAAGTGCTCTTAATACCCAGTGCTTGATTTTTTATGCCATTAGGATGTTGAATATAGCGGGCCATCCATGCAAGGTCTTTGTTTAGGCCTCTGTTGCAGGTATCTATTCATTATTTTTTATGTTTTTTTCAGTTAAAGACTAATTTGGATACCCCTCAAACTCTTGATGTATCAGTCATTCTCTGCTATTCTCATTTCAGACTGTAGGCCCAATATTGCTGGAGGCTCCCCAGTTGACAGTTATTGGTGAGGTAGCTCTCCAGCTGACAGTCCCCCACTTCTTCCACAAGAAGTTAATTCCTGAAGGCAGGATTTAAGAGGATATTTTTCCAGGGAACCACAAGGGGTGCATCCTCAGGCAGTATAAATAGTCCTAGCACCATTAACTTCCAATTTCCTAGAACCAACTCTCCCAGGACTTCCCTGTTTGTATTTCCTTGCTCCTCCACTTGCACAACTATGACCTATTATACACTGGTTTTCCTCCATCCTACCACACAAATTGTTTTCTGACAAATATGCAGAAGCATGAGCATTTAAAAAAGTAAGATAGTGTTCAGCCCTCCTGTTAAGCCCGAGTTAATGGTGTGATGATTAGAAAACTTGTTTTAAAAGCAACACATTAAGTGCCAACTATCAAGCAACCTTATGCCTGGACAAATTGGACCTGAATAACGCATTTGCAGAACTTCCAGCAAAAAACGTGTTCAAGTAAGGAATTCTGCTACATCCACAAAACATACTTAACATGCAGTATTTGATCTATAAATATGAAAAATGCATCTGGGAAACAGAGCAATGCACTCATTTACATGTGATAACTGTGCAGAAAGAAAACAATCAACCCTCCTCAAGGATGTTGGCCTTTTTTATATAGTTATCTAGTTATACCGTTCAGTGATTATTGGCATTCAGTGTAGATGTCATTTATTATTTAGCTGACTTGAATTCTTGGGACCATGCTGAGCTAAGATTTGAGGGAGAGAGGTTACTCTATTTGCTAGGGGCTATTTTTCAGTCACAAAAATGTATATTATACACCCAACTCCATATGTTTTGTACTTTATCCAATCTTTTAGCCAGGGATTACAAATACTCATTACACCTGTGAGGTAAATATTAGACCCATTTGACAGATGGACGAACACAATGGACTTTTCATGCAACCTTAATTTTAAAACAGCATGCTCATTTTACATGCAAGATTAATCATTTTGACCAAAAGACATCTTCCTTCTATTACCACCCTTACAATAAACTTTTGGCTTCCTCTTTCTGGAGCCATTTCCTTTATCCTAAGAAGTCTTGCAACTGAGCCCGGCCTTAGTTTAATAACAGCTGTGGCTCCAAAATGATTTGCTCCAATTTCTGTCCTAGGAAATTTCACATTATGTATTAGCTCTGTGGCTGGTACTGCGTTTCAGGACCTCCGACATGTACAGTTAATTAATCCAATTAGGCACACCCCAAGAGACATTACAACGCAGACACAGCTTTCAGAGATTAAAAATTTACTTTTGGCCTATACCAGTAACCAAAATTTCCTTTTCCCCCCAACATCTGCTCAGAAACTCTGACAAGCAAATGGGTGAATTAGATCCAATTCTCTATTCTTAACTCCTATTCTGGAGAAGGAGTAAGCAGGTGAGAAGCCCCACTTATCCCTGAGTGTAAAATTCCAATAACTTGCATAAGGGTGCAAAGG